GTACTTTACTTATAAACTCTTATTCTGTTTTTGTTTTCTCTTTTTTTATTTATTTAGAAGTCGTTGTGCTCCGAAAGGTTTTTCTTACTTTATGTTCTCGACTGGTCACTTAAATATAAGATCACTGTTCCCAAGTTTTAATGATTTTGTAAATCTTGATTTGCGCTACGATATAATGGGGTGAAACTTGGTTATCGGATACAGTTTTTTCAAATTACATCGCAATTGATGGTTACGCGCAATTCGAAGGGATAGAAACGGCAGAGGAGGTGGTGTAGCCAACCTACATGAAAAAAAAAAAAAAATTTAGAGTTCTTGACACATCAACGGAAATTGAACATTTATGGGTTTCCTTTCGCTTACAGGACGTAAATCTTGCGGTAGGGCTGGGGTACAGACCCCCGAAGGTTAATTATAGGGTATTTTTTTATATAGGATGGTTTTTGTGTTTTAATCAAAATCCTTAAACATTTCGAATCGGGCATTTCGACAACCGCATTCAACCAGCAGAAAGCTATCGATTGAGATATAAAACATTAAAATCCGTCAAACCGTTCTCTAATTATAGTCGATTTAGTTTAAATTAATTTTTTATATTGGGGGGCTAGACTTTCGGGCGTTCATACGTGCATAAGCAACGAGCCGAACACGGTGTCATTCCGGGGGCTGTACAAGGTTAACGGGAGAGAATTGAAATCAGGCATTTTGTGATTTCGATAGAAGAAACTATGACGAATCGAATGACGTATAGATCTTGATCATCGAGTACATTGTTTACGAGTTATCACCACTTAAAAAGGTCATTTTTGTGTTATTTTCGTGTACCGTCACATTATTTTGGCGTTTTAGCGGAATTCGAAAGAGATTTCTAATCGGGCATTTTATTGTTTATCGAAATCGGTTGACTGATTCTCTTGTTATAATCAAAATACTATACATGTAAAATCCTATCTAATTGGGGGCTAACTTCGCATAGGTCTTGATGTGTATTGAATTACATATAACGTACTGTTCATCGGGAAATCAAATTTGATTTTTTTGTGTTTACAACCCAGCAATCCTTACAATCCAGTGGTTGTAATAACCCTTAGAATGTTTAATGAACATCAGAATGTTATAATAAACATTCTGCCACAAACAACACACTTTTTACTTCACAACACTCTTAAATGAATATTATTTCTCTTTTTTTTTTCATCCTTTCAATACTAACTTTTTTCCATATTCACCTATGCACCAACGTTTGTAAAGCGTATTGTACCAAGTTTCACGAAATTCAGCTAAAACTTCAGAATACCTACCTTAAATCAAGAAAAAGAGAAAGCTTACCAAAATATTGATAATACAAAAAGAAATTAAGATATTTGCTATCAAATGCTGTAAATAAATACGAAATGAAATAGCTATTTTAACTTGTTATAATTATTAAGAAAGTTTTTCGATTTCTTTAATCTCCATTTTTATTGCTTCAATAAATCATTCGAAATCCGGTTGACAAACACAGATCATCATCGCTTCTCTATTTCTTCTTCTCCCTTTTCCTGTTTTTTTTTCTTGAAATTCTTTTAGGGGACACCAACATAGTCCACCCTCCAAAAATCGTGCAGACAAGCGATATCCATGGCAACGACGTCGGTGCGCCGTCCCTTTTGCGCCTACAACATAGGCTTCTGTTACGCTCCCAGACGCACTATGCAACAAAAGTGGCATCGAGGTTCTGTGGGTTGTGCGTATGAATGAGACGAGTTGAATGGAGAAGAGCGTCTTTTCGATGAGAGGAAAACGGGGTGAAATGGGAGGAGTTTATAGGTAATTACGAAACTAAGTATGTTGAATCACTTGATAAAGTTTGAAAACTTAGAATGTTTCATTAAAAGAATTGGTAAGAAAATTTTATGGCTGCCTAAAGAGGGTGATATCATAAAGGGAGTGATTTTGGAAACTAATCAATAATAACGTTTAATTTTATAATGTAGTTAATTATTTTTATTTACAGATAAGAATCAAATCGTTTAATATATTTGAGAGATATATTATTTAGTTTATTGAAGATAAATAACTAATGAAAGAATTAATTTAAATAATATAAATTAAATAAAAACAATACTTTTTCTGGTCTCTTTTATTTACTGCCTGACCGGTTTCGGCTTACGACATGATCAGAGATATTTATAATACATTAGATTTTAGTAACATATTAGTTTCATTCTGTTGCTCATCTAGACGGCTTATCACAAATATACCCGTTAAAAATTAAAAATTTCTTTTATATGTCCATACCATGAGTGCCCGTCAATCCAAGTATAGTAGTGTTGATTTATATTTATATTTTTATTGCAAAATTTTAACTTTTAATGTGTTTATACTTTATAATTTTTAATTTTTAACGTTTATATTTGTGATAAGCCGTCTATATGAGCAACACAATTAATCTAACATATTACTAAAATCTGATTATTAATGTCTCTAATGATGACGTAAGCCGAAACCGGTCATACAGTAAATAAAAAAGACCAGAAAAAGTATTGTTTTTATTTAATTTATATTATAGAAAATAACTGGTCAACATGGCTCAAACTCCATCATTTAATTAATTTAAAATTTAAAGAAGTAATATGAAACAATCAAAGCTTATTATTAAAAAAAAATAAATATAGATTTAATTCGTTTTAGTTTTTATGATGAAATCAAAATTTCGATTAAATAAGGGGGTGAAAATCAAATTAATTACTCATCTTGTTGGGGATGCAATCGTATTTAACGAGTGGTCATAAATTGTCGTTTAACTTGATTAACGCAATATACCATTAACAAAATCGTGTTTTATTGAACATAGGCAAACAAGATTATATCCCTGCTTTAAGTGTTGTCTGCTTAATTATAATCAATTTTTAAATCGTTTAAATTAAATTTCATCAACTTCCTAAAATAGAATAACAATGAATNGTCTTGATGTGTATTGAATTACATATAACGTACTGTTCATCGGGAAATCAAATTTGATTTTTTTGTGTTTACAACCCAGCAATCCTTACAATCCAGTGGTTGTAATAACCCTTAGAATGTTTAATGAACATCAGAATGTTATAATAAACATTCTGCCACAAACAACACAGTTTTTACTTCACAACACTCTTAAATGAATATTATTTCTCTTTTTTTTTTCATCCTTTCAATACTAACTTTTTTCCATATTCACCTTTGCACCAAGTTTCACGATATTCAGCGAAAACTTCGGAACACCTACCTTAAATCCATTCACAAGAAAAAGAAAAAGCTTACCAAAATATTGATAATACAAAAAGAAATTAAGATATTTGCTATCAAATGCTGTAAATAAATACGAAATGAAATAGCTATTTTAACTTGTTATAATTATTAAGAAAGTTTTTCGATTTCTTTAATCTCCATTTTTATTGCTTCAATAAATCATTCGAAATCCGGTTGACAAACACAGATCATCATCGCTTCTCTATTTCTTCTTCTCCCTTTTCCTGTTTTTTTTTCTTGAAATTCTTTTAGGGGACACCAACATAGTCCACCCTCCAAAAATCGTGCAGACAAGCGATATCCATGGCAACGACGTCGGTGCGCCGTCCCTTTTGCGCCTACAACATAGGCTTCTGTTACGCTCCCAGACGCACTATGCAACAAAAGTGGCATCGAGGTTCTGTGGGTTGTGCGTATGAATGAGACGAGTTGAATGGAGAAGAGCGTCTTTTCGATGAGAGGAAAACGGGGTGAAATGGGAGGAGTTTATAGGTAATTACGAAACTAAGTATGTTGAATCACTTGATAAAGTTTGAAAACTTAGAATGTTTCATTAAAAGAATTGGTAAGAAAATTTTATGGCTGCCTAAAGAGGGTGATATCATAAAGGGAGTGATTTTGGAAACTAATCAATAATAACGTTTAATTTTATAATGTAGTTAATTATTTTTATTTACAGATAAGAATCAAATCGTTTAATATATTTGAGAGATATATTATTTAGTTTATTGAAGATAAATAACTAATGAAAGAATTAATTTAAATAATATAAATTAAATAAAAACAATACTTTTTCTGGTCTCTTTTATTTACTGCCTGACCGGTTTCGGCTTACGACATGATCAGAGATATTTATAATACATTAGATTTTAGTAACATATTAGTTTCATTCTGTTGCTCATCTAGACGGCTTATCACAAATATACCCGTTAAAAATTAAAAATTTCTTTTATATGTCCATACCATGAGTGCCCGTCAATCCAAGTATAGTAGTGTTGATTTATATTTATATTTTTATTGCAAAATTTTAACTTTTAATGTGTTTATACTTTATAATTTTTAATTTTTAACGTTTATATTTGTGATAAGCCGTCTATATGAGCAACACAATTAATCTAACATATTACTAAAATCTGATTATTAATGTCTCTAATGATGACGTAAGCCGAAACCGGTCATACAGTAAATAAAAAAGACCAGAAAAAGTATTGTTTTTATTTAATTTATATTATAGAAAATAACTGGTCAACATGGCTCAAACTCCATCATTTAATTAATTTAAAATTTAAAGAAGTAATATGAAACAATCAAAGCTTATTATTAAAAAAAAATAAATATAGATTTAATTCGTTTTAGTTTTTATGATGAAATCAAAATTTCGATTAAATAAGGGGGTGAAAATCAAATTAATTACTCATCTTGTTGGGGATGCAATCGTATTTAACGAGTGGTCATAAATTGTCGTTTAACTTGATTAACGCAATATACCATTAACAAAATCGTGTTTTATTGAACATAGGCAAACAAGATTATATCCCTGCTTTAAGTGTTGTCTGCTTAATTATAATCCATTTTTTAAATCGTTTAAATTAAATTTCATCAACTTCCTAAAATAGAATAACAATGAATGTAAATAAATTAATTAATAATTTCAAAACTTTATATCGAAATAAAATTTCAAAACTAACTTTAGCCTTGTTTGTTTGTTTGTTTAAAACAAAAAGAAAACAGGATACAATAATAGATAAAACATCTGCGGTTTCCATTTAACACCGGAACAGATACCGTAATCGGAGTACAAAGTGACGTAAAAAAAATCGAAACCCAAAAAGAGACCGCGATTGACTCTCACAATAGTAATTGAATCCATTCCCCATTAAAATCATTCATCCAGCGATTTAATTTCAGTTTCGATCAATTTCGATCGACACAATTTCCTAAATTGCGGTTACGATGTAATTCTACCGTAGTAATTTCACTTTCAAACCGAACGTACCGTTTCGAATCGGTCGAATATCATTAACAATTTAATCTAATCGCGTATCAAACATTTAAGTATTGGCTATTGACGCGTTAGTCTCGGGGAGTAGCATTTCGCGTTAAGATCTAATTATAGTATAAGTCGGGCTTCTGTGCAGCTCGCACACATTCTCACCGGTATTTATGTAGTGCCACGGAATTCACTGTCGAATAATAAAGCTTAACGGTGCTCCCGATTCAATACCGTCTTAAAATGTTGAAAGTAACAATATTTACATTGCCGTAATGAACGAGATAAAAATTGGTCAGGAACGAAAGATGTTCGTTTTGTTATTATCTTGTCGAAAAACGTGTTGATTCATAAACGAACGTGTTGAGGTAAGATAAATGTTTAGTTGATGATCGTATAATTAAATTGATTATGTTTAATTTATGTTTTTTTTTACTTTTTTTTAAGTTTACAATAATGTTTTAGTGTATACTTTGAAAGACATAGTTTTTTTCTCGCATAAATAAAGTAAACCCTGAAATTTATCTTTCGTTTATCTTTGAAACATTTCAATTATTTACACTCTCTTGGGGCTCGCTGCAAATTACAGAAAAAAAGCTAGGTCGACCTACTGACATCAATTCTATTACTGGTACAGTAGAAAAACTCACATATTTTCTGACTTCCTCTCAAACCAAATGTTTGAGGTAATTGCGCAATGCCCTCGAATACACAAAGATGACGATGAAATTTTAAATAAATATATAAATTTATATTCAAAGTAAACGTTGCTAAATAAAAAAAGATTAATTTAGTTTACCTACTATACTATTTGTAATATTGGGGTAGATAAAAATTTGGATCTGAATAATTTATTAATTTCTAAAAATAAAATTATAATTCTCTTATTTAAAATGCTAAATGACGTAATTTTTGTACAATCATCCCATCGACTAAACTTATATATCACTGTATAAAGCGGATTTCCGATTATAAAGAAATTTTGTATAGAATCTATATTTTAAGGTGTATTCTAATAATATAAGGCTTCTCAAGTAGATTTAAAAACAAGGGTAAAAGTTTGTTGCTGTCGTCGTACAGGTAATTTTTAAAACGGTCGTCATAAGGTCAACTTTATGAATATTGTACAAACGCGTAAGTGCGTGAGTCGAACAAATTTTTGAAGACTTAAATGTTAATAGTCATTATAATATAAATTTTTCTGATATTAATTTATTGTGGTTATTATACTGAAATTTAAATTATAATTAGTAATACCTTTTTCAGATACAGTATTTTTACTTGATCAAACCTTATCTTTTCAATTAATCGTATAATATTGAGAAACATTGGATTTCTTAAAAAACTCTTTATGGAACTTTCACAATTTATAAGATATTATTTACTTTGTCAGATATTTTTATTAGATAAAACGTTTGCATTTAAGGTTTTTGTTTGATAAATTAAAAACAAAGTAAGTTTCTGTTAATTTTTTTAAAGTAAATAACGAAGAATTAATTTATTTTGGCTTCCGTTTGCGATTAATATGTATCCGGACTAGTGAGATAAGTTTAGAATTACTTTGATTGTCGAAAACTGGATAAAAAAAATCTCCACACAATTGACACCATTTTAAATTATTCTGCTAATATGATGTTTACGAGAAAAATATCATTGGAGGGAACACTATACTCGACTATTGTTGATCCTTTAATGAGCCTTGTACTATCTTTGACACATAATAGTATATTAAAAAACAAGTTTCGTAAGACACGCTTGAAATGCACGAATTTAAGTTGAAAAACGAGTGGCGAAGCCACGTGTTTTTTAATGAATGAGTGCTTTAAGTCTTATGAAACGTATTTTTTATACTATTTTTTGTAATTCGCGGTTTTATACTTTTTTTAACAAAAATAAAGTAAATTTTAGCAATGTAGGGAAATAGGTATGTAGCAGTTGGTAACACCGGAACACTTGAAAATAAAAACTTGAATTGACAATTAGAAACTGTCAAAACACAAAATATATTCACCTGAAAAAAATGTTTGATGTACACCTCCCAAAATAAGAGAAATTGCTCAGAGTCAATGTCTTGTATTCGATGCTAAGAACGTGTTTAAACATCCATAGACAAAAATTGTCACATTAACAACTAGAAAAATTAATAACCCAATGTCACCAACTTGAACTGGTTCCATAAAATGTTATTAAAATCTCATTACAGCATCGGATGCTGTAAGGAGTCTCATTACAGCACCCGTTTGAGTACTGTTATAGCTTCCATTACCGTAGCGAATTACAAAAAACTACTAACAACAGTTTTGGTATTCCTTGTACTAATAGAATACAAACTAACAGAGTTGCTTTCCCACTTTAAATACACTTCTTACCCGTTATGTTAATTTTTATCTTATTATCTTAGTGAAGGATAAATGTCCCGCCTAGCTTAACTTTTGAGAACTTTTATATAAATTTTATTGCAAAATTTTCAGGTACATATCATAACCTGAGAATTATTTTGAACCATGTCCAAAACACAATTTTTCTATGTGTAATTGTACCAAGTATTGTTCCAATGATAACAGAGCATGCAAGCACGTGACATAGAACTTTTAAATTCAAATTACTGCTTTGTAGACTAAGGGACTTGGTTCAAAATAATTTTCAAATGACGATATATTGATCCACAATCCCTTGTATAAATAAAATTAACACATAAATGTTTAGTAATACACAGTTTTTGGGATTAAGCTGCTCATTCTCTTATTCTCAAAATAATTAAATTTAGGTTTGCTAAATATTACGGACTGCCAAAATGATATCAGTCTTCTAATAACCTACGTGTTTTCACAAATTCGAAACGGTCTTATTTTGTTTACTATGAAAGACTTCTTCGTTAGATACTCTTCCTCGTAAACCGTCTTATACGGAGGCTTTCTGTTATCTTGCCCCATTCTTATACGGAAAAACGGATAAAACAAGAACAACGTTTAATCCCCTTATAGTAATCAGTTTTCACAAGATTTTTTCAATTCTTGTTCTCATACCCATCTTATATCATTTTAGCAAGTACAACTTCGTGAATTTTCATTAATTACCTTGTAATTCTTGACGTCTCTTTACTATACAGAGTAGAACAAAAAATCTCTGGAAATGCCTCATTTACTCCGAAATGGGTAACTAGAGACAAAACTTAGAATATGTCTATTTTGGGATACAAAGATTTTAGACTTGTTATTCGCAATGTTGCCAGATTTACCATTTTTCTGATATTGTGAAATATTTTTTTAAAATCATTTTAAAAGTAACCTTGCTTTTTTTTGGCTCTGTGGCCCAGATATAGATATTTCAGATTCATGATTTTGTTTGCGATCGACTCAAAATGGCTTCGCGATCAACGTTATGGACACCACTGGTATAGCTCTGCAGACTGTAACCGATAAATCTGCAATATCACTGTCTCAAGCGGAACATTGGTTCGCATCGAATATGCTTTCCCTAAACCCTGGAAAGACTGCCAGACTGCGACCTTTTCACTTCGTCGACAAGCCGATGCCAATACTTCCGCTTCAGAGGATGAACAAAAATCCATAAGATTTTTAGGCATAAATCTCGATAAAAAATTAACTTTTAGGCAACACACTGATGTTGCAATCAAGCTCCGTAGAAATGTTTATGTATTACATATTCTGAGCAAAAACGTATCTTCATCTACGTTAAAAACCGCATATTTCTCTCTGTGCCAGTCTGTTATTGCCTACGGGATACTGGTTTGGGGTGGTGCAACATCCAGTGATCGAGTTTTTAGACTTCAAAGGCGAGCAATAAGGATACTTGATAATTTGAAATATTGAGATGATAACCTTCCCTTCATTGTATATATTAGAAAATATTTTCTACACAAACAATAATTTTGATAAATTTATCACGCACAAGGATGTGCATAACTAGAGGACCAGACCAGAGGACGTGATCTGTTAGTGCCTGAGTATTGCCGGCTCTCCAGGAGTTTCAACTGTTTGTCTCTCAAATTTTACAACAAGAATCCAGAGAGATTCAGAAGGCTTGCATTAAACAAGTTTAAATGTAGTATTAAGTCATTTTTACAGAAAAAGGCCTACTACGCGTGCTCTGAATATTTCACTGACCAGATTATACTGTCGGATTTTAATCTGTAACCTCTAAAACGTCTTACGTGTACTTTGAATATTTTATAAGTTTGTTCTTTACCTTTTTGCTTTGCAATGTGTGTACCTGACGAGTGTTAATATTTTTTATGTGACACAATAAACTTTGAACTTTGAACTAAAATAGGGATTACTCCGGGAGGTCTGTTTGCTGTCCGGAGTCTATCCTTAGTCTTATACAGGCTATCACACAAAAAACGCTATATATTTACTTATTTACAGTTATATATTTACATTCCGATTTTTATGAGCTATCAAATGAACTGGTTTGATAAATATCTATGTTATAATATATATCTATGTTATAACTATGTTTCATGCTACAAATAAATTTTTTCCAACGCCATCTTCAAGTTCTAGCGATGATCATCTTTTGTTTTTCAAATTGCTCGGTACTCTCAGACGCAGTACTCTCAGACTTTCATCAAACGTTTCATTTCTTAATTTCTAATCGCTATGAAAAAACCAATTTTTATCTTTAACTTCATTTTCAACACTGTAAAACTGGTACAGCATCCTTTGAATGTTATTTTCATCCAACTTGACCTTCAAATTAATTCATTTATTAATAAATTAATAATTAATCTGTAAAATTTTATATAAAAAAAAATTAAACGCCCTTATAGCTTATAATTTGCTGTAACCTCAGACATTGCTTTATAACTTCAAAACGTTTAATTTCTTAATTTCTAGTAGTTTTGATATTTTCATCAAAATAATAATTTTATTGTTTAACCTCACTTCCTACAAACGTCAAATTCAATTTGTTATTTTTAATAAGTTATATAATATAAGGTGACCTCCCTGGAAGATTATAATTTGGTGTAACCGAAGGTCAAAGATTTATCTATAAACTTAAGAGTTTCATTTCTTAATTCCTAATCGTGTTGCAGAAAACAATTTTTATCTTTAACCTCATTTTCAATAAACATTAAATTGGTACAGCATCCTCTGAATGTTATCTTCATCCGCCTACAAGAGAACAGTGTCGTCCACATAGAAAACTATTTTCAGTTCTTCGTTTCCCAACTGATATCCTTTTCCAACTTTGTTTACGTCAGTTATTATTTCGTACATGACCAAGTTGAAGAGTGCTAGGCTTAAACTATCACCTTGTCTTGTGCCGGTGTGAATCGGTACTCTACGTGTTATTCTCCTAAAGTGAGTTGGCAAATAAAAGGTCTCGCGATTAATGTTTTTCG